ATGTGTGTGAAATTCATCACAGCGTCTTACCAAACGGGACGAGGATTAATGCAGATGTGTAATTTGAAGAACTGAACACAATGATGGAGAAGCTCGCACGTCTCCAACAAACTTTTGTCAATCATTCGGCTCCACTGCTCCTGGACGACATCGCGCGACGTCATACTGCACAGCAAACGGTCTCCAAGCTACAAGAGCCGGGATTGGAAGTTCTCCGTCATCCGCCGTACTCACCAGGCCTTGCGCCTACAGACTTCTTCTTTTTTCAGAATATGGATAACTTCTTGGCGGGACAAAAAATCAATATCACAAAGGCAGTATAAAATGCCTTTGAAGAATGAGTTGCTTCCTGTCCAGTTGATTTCTTCAAGAAGGGCACCAGTAAGCCACCAATGCGTTGGCAAAGATGCATTGATTGCATGGGTGATTACTTTGAACAATAGCAATTTCATGGGTAAAGATCTAATATTAAATCTATATACATATAGTATCAATAATATCAAACAAACAAATATTTTATAATATTAGTACAGATAAAACATAGTCAATTGTTTTATTTGTGTTAACTGTCTTTACGCTGTGTTATTATAAACTACACAACGGATTTTAATGCATTTTTCATCAATAAATAGAGTGATTCAAAAGAAAGTCTAATCTCCACTAGTGGAAAGCTAGTTGATAATAAAAGTAATATTACCTCAACATTTACTGTTTTGCAATTATTGTCCAATGAACAAAACAAACCCAGTCCTAAATATTGAATTCTCCCCGGAAAGCGCAATTGCCATTGCCGTGAATGTTAATTTGTAAGATATTACCAGTGTAGCTGTAAATCCCAAACAATTATCACCTGCGATAGCAAATCGTTTAGTTGGAGCGAGAGAAACTATAATTTGTCTCTCTCGCACTATAGTGCTGTGCTAATGATGCACATCGCAATTACAGCAGTACAGAATAGCTCCCAACATTAATTATTATTCGATTCACCGCTTACTTAACTACTTATTTTAACTTTAGTTTAATTTGGACCTCATGCATTTACAATGTACATTTTTCTTTACAATATTTTAATAAGAATATGAACTGACTTAATAACCGAATGACTGGCTGACATATACCAACGCACAATCCAACTTATTACGATAAGAAACTTAAAATTTTTGCGCCATGCTTAAGGAAGCAACTTAAAAGGATACTGAAGATAAACACTATGAAAGGATATTTAGAAATTCGTTTCAAAAGGGAATGAAAATTGGAGTTAGGTTTGTTTGAAACTCCATGCTGCCTTCTGCTTATACAGTACTATACGTGATATAGTATAACTAATTGTCATGTTAATTAACGTTTGTGTTTTTCATTTTTTTTTTTCAAATTATCTTTTAATGTTCTTGTGTGTGTTATACAACCTAAAATTGAACCGGATATAAGCCATAACTATAAAGTAAAAAAAATATTAAAAAATATATATATAATGCCTTTATTTGTATGGGGATTCGTACCAACTTGCGTCAACTCAAATTTACTCTCAACAGGTCAAGTTTTCATTTAACTTTTTACTACTATCAAGGTTTTATCATAATTTTCCCGCATTTTTAAGATATTCAAAAAAATATATAACGACCGTCCGTTTACTTTATTGATATTTAATTATTAATATATTTATATAGAAATGCGTTTAAGGCCGCACTTAAGAAGTGGATTTGCACAATATATGATACTAAACTCAAATGAACTTTCTATTATTTTTTAACAAATAAGCAGGCACCATAAACGCCAATCGGTGTATTCCAAGAGTTATTATCTCAGCACAGCAAATCACTTCAGAGTGACTATCTCGTTACGCCACAATACAAAAACTAACTATCTAAATATCTTCATTCGTCCAATTTTATTCATTAGTATAAATCATCATCATCACCAGCCCTTTTACGTCCCCACTGCAGGGGCTCAGGCCTTCCTTATGGATGGTTAAGGAGGATGGGCCATAATCCTCCACGCGGGCCCAATTCGGATTGGAGGGTATTAACGACTGCGGATGCAGCCGGGACCATCGGCTTAACGTGCCTTCCGAAGCACGGAGTAGCTCGAGATAATAATTTTTTGGTCACCCATCCCATGACCGACCCTTGCGCAAGTTGCTTAACAACTACGATCGCGGGCCGCGGCGCTTATCCACTACGCCACCGAGCTACTCCTACTAACTTCGGCTGTTAGTATAAATAGCAGTTAATAAATATTTAGATCATTGTCAGTTTACGAAAACAAGGTCAATTGTATACGAAACTCGTTTTCCGTTATGATTTTTTAACGGAAATAGGCGAATTGGTAAATATTTATTATTACTTTTTAATGCGATCAAAAATATGGTTTAAATACCACTGGGAAATACATATGAATAAAATGTTGTTTTTTGGTAATCGTGTACCTTTGACTTATATTGCGTCACACTTTAAAGTGTGTGTAAAAGACCGTTCATATTAATAACTCCGCTATTAAAATTATCTCCCGAAAACGGCTACAAATTTATTTAATATCAAAATAAAAAAAAAATAAGTTAACAACTATCGCTAAATACTTTAATAAGCGAAACACTCATTCAAAGAGCATGATAGTAGGATTTCATATACTCCGAATATTGCACTAAAGTACTCTTTTGACCATTGAAAAACTTTTAATCTAACTCTTTTGCAGATATTAATTTCGTCGCAACTATGATACATGTTGAAAAACTTCTGTTTAAATATATTTTCTACTAAATGTTCAGATAACGGAGTGTGATCTTCATGGAGATTCACATTTTGAGCAGACATAAAGTTTATTATTGCTTGTTTTGTCCATACTGTTTATTTTTGAGATGTATCTGTTTTGTACTTGGATATTTCACCATCCCCATTTCATTAATCTCTCGTCAATTATACGTTTGACGTACTGTAGCATAAATGAAACAACTTTTAAACGGTTTAATCACCTTTGTATTTAGTTTTATTGCGTTTCGGACACTTTACCGACTCGTGTTCACATAAGATTGTTAATTTAGTGATTATCTTTTTACTTAAGAGTATCTATCTATCTTCAAACCAATACTATTGGACACATTTGAAGGTAGCTACATACTTAATTAAAAAGACAATCTTAGTCTTATGTGAACATGTGAACATGGAACCTGGGGGCCAATTCTACTAAATAAATTTTGTTTAAATCGAATCGAAAACGGATCGAAACCGAACGAAACTACAGTTTTAATGGTTTTTCAAATCTACTAAGTGACATACGATACAATTCCTTGAAAAGTTTCGTTCCGTTTCGATCCGTTTTCGATTCGATTTAAACAAAATTTATTTAGTAGAATTGGCCCCCTGTAAAGTATCCGAAACGTCAATAAAACTAAATACAAACTATGGATATATATGGATAGTGCGCGCTAAAATATAAAAAATCAATATCTACTGTAACATGTTTTTCTTCTACATTCATTTAAATAAAATAAGCTATGACAGAATTCAAAAGTAATTTAACTCAAAGTAAATCGTTGAAATTTAATCTTCACAAAGTTTTATCTACGGTAGAATTTCCAATTTAATTAAGCCTTATACGTTTTTCAATTAATTTTCACTGATAATATTACAATAAAAACTTCATATTGCAATGTTTTTATGTAAGTTAAAAATATATTTGGAGCCATCTTCATATTCTACAGTTGACCCTTAGATGAGTTATGGGTTTATTTTACTAAACAAAAAACGGCATGAATGGTTATTAGGTAACAAATTTCGAACATATCGAAGTGCTTTCAATAACTTCAAATCAATCGTTTCAAATAACATCACTCTCTTATTTTAACTATCAATTGTACTGTATTAGTGAGTTAAATATATAAAGATTAGTAATTTAAAGGAAAGAGTGAAAGAAACAGAAGATCCAACATAATTTCACAATGATTGTCCCCGTCATAAAGTTTGAATGAGATCTACAATTTTGATGAAAGTAAAATTATTTCATTTATCCCTCCGGATTGATGTCATTTCTATCTACATAAAAAAAATCATAATCCATCCAACTTTCTTATTGCAAAATAAACAGGAGTCTCAGAAAAGGAAGTTTTAAAATTTCCTTCGTTTTTTTGGGTGTCATATTCCAAATTCTACAATATTCAGATGGAGGCGGATTTGCGAATCCAACTTTTTCGAGTTTATTATTCATAAATGCAAAGGCGTAAGATATTAGACGAACTTACTTTAAGAGCTTGAAGGATTCGATGGGAGCTCAATCGAATTTCGTCAATAAAACCTGAACCGTCGGTGAAAATGTTAAATTGGATATTGAAATTTGATATGTGATTCATTTGACTGCATTGCATCATGTAAACATTCTACTTGGTAAAAAAAAGCTTACCTTTTTGTATTTGCATTAGAAAATATATAATCACTTTTTGGTCATACCTTAATTTGTCGTTCAAATATCTGATAGCTAGTGGGAATGAGGACTGTACAATAAAAACTAATGGAAAATAATAAACACAAATTACAGCTTTAATCACTCGAAACAACTATGATAAAGACAAAAACAAAGAGCAAATCAAAAGGAAAAGAGAACAAATTGTAAAAATATAAAACTTATAAAAAATAGTGGTGTCTTTCTAGCCAATATCATTAAACAAAATAGGTGCTTTGGTATTCTGCAAAAATACAGTGTTAAATGCCGCTTCGAACAAACCTCTAATTTGCAAGAGTCAATCAAAGATTTCGAGATGTTAATCATAAGATAGGTGACCAAAGATTTACTATCTCTAGCTTCTCCGTACTTCGGATGCGTTAGCCAGCTGATTCTGCAATCTTTAGCATCCCCTCATCTGTACTGGGCTCGCGTGTTGTATTATGGCCCGTTATTACTATTTAATTGAATCGATAGGAAGGCCCATACCTCTGCAGTATTAATAGTTTAATGATGATCGTATGTATTAATATTTTTTTAATTTAAAACTATGTTATCTCTTATTTCAGGTAAATGAATCAAAAATGGTGAACTCATAATCATCATCATGGATGAGCTGATGAAGAAGTTACGCAGTATCATGGCACTGCTGTGGATGATAGCTGGCTTGACGACGGTCGGGGCCGTCAAGGTTGTCATTGAGCCGCTACCTAAAGGTAAGTGAAGTCACACATAAATTTAAACAAGCGAATTATTCCTTAAAACCCACACAACCCAACCATCTTTTGAATATATTGTATCGTCGTTGCGGTTGTCGCATGTTGTTTCAGATATTAATAAGAAAGAATATTCTGTCGCGACACAACAAAATTTGCAAATGTTTCTAACTATACTAAATGTGTGAATAAAATGTGCTTCAACCTTGATGCAAAGCTAAAATTAAATAAGGATCGTAATGATTATGAGAACAATTAAATGATGAATTGCCCATTGCAAGCAGAAAAGTGTGAATTTTTCATTAGCATCCGAAAAATTCATGATCGTTAGTGATTGCGAACTATGAATTCCGGATCAAATCAGTCTTCCAGACACCATTTTTAATTTTCTACGGGCGTGATTAACAAGGACGAAAAATAGCAGCTCCCAGTTCGTGAACAAAAGAGGTACTCTTTCGACCTGTCGCTCACAGAGTGTAAACAGAATCGGGGCCCGAACTTAATTTGGTTTTTTACACTTGAAGCTGAAACGGGCGGTCGAACTTGCTCCCTTAACATCTGCACGAGCGACTTCACTTTAGTTTCGTTTAATTTCCTATCTCTCTTGCCGTGACGTTTATTACACTCACACCACTCCACTTTTGTTCACCGGCACTAATAACCATTCGGAATTATTTTTTATTCACAGTTCTTCGTCTATTTTGAGAGACGACCGCTCTCTTTATTGTTTTCGCATTAATTTACAGTCAACAGCTGCGGGTAACGCGGATTTCTAAGGAGTTTTTATCTACCTTATTCTTTCTTTTGAAATTGAGATCTCCTATTAATATTAATTAAAAGTTTGTATAATTGAATGGATTTGGGATTGTTCCTCGCTCGTTGAGTTTCTCTGACGGCAAATTGAGGCAATAATTAAAAGTTCAGAGACTCTATTATCCAGTGTGACAGGACGGTATTTATCGCAAATTCATAATCTTTGTCAAATAAAATTTCTAAGCTACATTTAATAACGTTATTAAAGCATAAGCCAATTCTGAAGTAGGATTGTGAAGGAATGTTAAGTGAATCGAATAAAGGCGGTATTTAAAAAGTTCACAATACAAGTCACGGGTCTAAAGTGCAATTAAGAAGTCGCCGGCTGCATAGTGAAATACACAGACGCATTCCTTAGTTTTACAGTAATTACTTACTGGAGTGAAATAAAAATGTTTGCTCGTAAACTCCTTGTTACCAACGTAATAGGTCTGCGTCTTGGACTTGGGGGAGTCTAGCATTTGTAATGAACGTTTCGTTCACCCTCGTAATGCTGTGAATCAAATAGTTACTTACCTTAAGGGAAACATGTTTGTGTCCAAATGAAAATAAATGCTGGAACTTTTCTTAAAGATTACTTTTCTTTGGATGAGAAACGGTATTTTAGTTGATTTCCGGTTCGCCCTTAGGGTCTTTTAAATAAACAAGATTATAATTTTTAAGTCTTGATTTAAGTGTCCTATTGTTATTGAGTCATACGATAAATAGTAACTGTTCAATTATTCACTCTTGACGTTATAAAATAAATATTTTAATATTTTATGTATATTCTATTGCATAAAGTGGAGAAATCAATAAACGTATTTTTTACTACTTATATACAAATAATTCAATATTTATTTACCTGACATTTCACCAGTATAATTATGTAAATCTCCGAACATATGAATTTATCAATAGAAGCGCCATAACCATTTGCTAGTTCTAACCCTATATGTGGCTAGACATTTTTTTAATATATTTTATCAATTTTGCATTCAGAATTCTATATTGAAATATATTCTTAATGAAAAATGCTTACAAAATCTACTTTGTCTCTGGCACCCTGAAATGGGACTCGAACCCTTTCGTCAATTACTTTATCACCTTTCGCAATCCGAGCGACTACTCTAACCACTGAGCTACCCAGGACCTAACAGGGCCGACGAATTTTTCAAGCACTTGTTACTATTTTGCTACTACAGAGCGTATTTTCATCAATGTTCAGGGAATTCATTCAAACAGCCGAACGAAATTTTTTGTCGTTGAAATATGTGTCTAGGTATCTATATTTTAGTATTTATTAAACGTACCATATACGGTTTGTGGTAATAAACGTTATCAAATTTATGTATCAAATTTGATACATTGCCAAGCTTACAAATGTTACATTTAAACAAATTTTAACAAAAATAGCATATTCCTACGAGAATATATTAACATATTTATTTTCAAGTTTCATTATGAGATCATTCAAAAATCTAATCTAAATTACTCGGAATTAAAAATATCTATTTCTCCATCAATATAGTAAAATATGTTGCTAGTTTTATTAGCAGATCAGACTATACAATATTGACAAACTCCAGATGAATTCTGTTCCTACTCATTAACAATATCTAATATTAATTAATGATATTTGGCAACTACCGTAGCAGTTCGATATGATATATTTATTCGCGAATATGCGGGCGGTATATCTATTCACCGCCCGCCCACCCGCAAATAAATTCACGTTCATAAGTGGAAACAATTTTCGCTAACACCATCAAGAGCTTCTACAGGAGAAGTTTGACAGGCAATGGGGCCAAGGAGATCTCAGCTAAATATTGTAATTTTACATGGACTTTCGCATGATAGCGCCCGATTTTATTGAATACTGACAATTCGCTGTAAACTTTTAAGTCTTTATTAAAAAAACTATATATTTATTCAATGCATATAATCTTTATCCTCAGAGCCCCTGCGGTGTAAGCAAAGAGAGTAGAGCGTCCAAGAGAAAGGATGCACCTTACATACATCTTTCGCTTCTTTGACAAACATAGCTCTTTTCACTCACTAAGTCACTAGCGCTTACGACTTCTGATAATATATTTCGATATCACGTAAATAATATGATTCTGAAAGGTATATTTAAGCCTTTTGCGTCTTCTATATCTGTCCATTTTCGCGGTGTATATCAGTTATTTCATTTTCGGTTTGCACTTTCTGGCTGAAAAGTATTTTCTACCAATGAGTTTTCTCAACGCTCTATTTATGGTATTTCCGGCACTCATGTTTTTATCATTATTTTATCATACAATATCAATAGTGTGCTTGCTGCCCCTACTAAAGGCACTTCCAAGATATACCTATAATTTGTTGGACACTTTTACGCGGACTGTATGTAACCATATAAAAGGAGAACCTCTGGAACCTGACATTCAGGTTTAGTCAGGCACAGATGCTACTCAATTTTAAAATGAAGTGTATTTTTTTTTTCTAAATCAATCAAATTATCATAAAATTATATTAATTTGGTTCAACACTACATTATCAACTATTGTCCTGGCATATTTTTATACTAATGTGCTTATGATAAAAGTGCCAGGTGTTATCGAAATTTGTTTTATTGCTGCTGCGTTAGTTATGACGTCTGTAAAAAAATAATTAAATTATTATAACAAATAAATAATACTAAAAATATAATTTAGAGACACGATTATATAAAACTAAAGCTGAACAAACTAGACAATGTCTCGTTTTTAAGATAGAATATTCATAATATTGAATATCTGGCAGTGTTCCATATTGTATATAACGGAGGGTAGTCCGAAGGGGCTATTACGAAGTCCAAATAGATCGTCCATATCAACGTGGTCCATATATGTGTATACCAACGTGGATTTATTCCATTTTATCGCTTTTCTTACGAAACTATAACGAGATGAGCGTGATGTCGTCTGATGTCTTTACTCCTCGGCGATCGGAAACAGAATGTGTGCCAAAATGGCGGCAACTTGGTTTTTATAAACGAACTGTCAAAGTCAGTGTCACCATTCTAATCAAATTAAAAGTATCGATGATCACGCTCTCTTTACAATCGAGTAATTAAGTAATCGAATAACTAGCAATTAAAATAAAAGAAACTAAATCAAACGATCTTCGTAACGATGATGCGACATATACATTCAAAAATAACGATTGATTTTTAAACTTTGCTGCGCTTTAAACAGTTTAAAAGAAGGAATCACTTAAAGCGTTTTTATTACCTTGCGTTGTGTAGGCGCAGGTGAACGGTTAGTAAAAATGCGAACTACTAACGATGAATACAGTAGTTCAATAACAGGACTAATATTTTTTATATATTTTGAAGAATATTTTCTTCCATATGTAATTAAAAATAAACGTGAAGATTATATTTTAGATCATAAAAAAATTTGAAAGTTAACGTATCAAATAATACCCTATGTAAGAATAAGACTAAAGTACTCGTATGTAATAAAAATGAATTGAATATCACCATCAAAAGGACACAATCACTAATAACAAATTTAATGTCGTTTTAATGGCGAAACAATTATAATTTAAAAAGAAGTGAGTAAAACTCAACAATTGAAAAATCATGAATCAATAAAATAGTCCTATCTGAAACAGATGAGTCGGCCTTTTTAGTTTTAGACTTCCTTTTTAATAGATTCCAGCCGTTTTCCCGCGACTTTGCTCCCGTAAATTATAGGTTATGATGATAGCTTCCCGTAGGTAAAAGAATGTATAAAATTGGTTCCATTAGTTTCGGAGCCTATTCAACGCAAACAAACAAACAATAAAATCTTTCCTCTTTATAATATTAGTTTAGATAACTAAAATAACTGAATGTAGACAATACTGACAGCTAGTGTAAGCGAATAAATCGTAATCAATCACAGACCACTGGCAATGTTTGCTTTGGGCGTAATTGTGCTGACATTTTCATGGTAGCAATGTGGGTCAATAGGTTGACCAAAGCATCTGTAGCAGTTTTGTGGATATTGAAAAATATCCATAAATAACTAAATTCAAAGCACCAAAAATATTCCAATAAAAAAATTAAATCAACGGCAGTTGTAATATTTTTAAGCAAAAAGAAAATACAAATGTACGAGTATTATAGTTAAAGTCTGTTTTAATCATAATAAAACAATCGATGACCTACTTTTATGAGTGGCTCATACACTAGTAAGAAAAAA